TCTCTCCCCAGCTCTCCTGTAGGCCCCCTTTAGGTACTGGAAGGCTGGAACAAGGTCTTCCTGGAGTGTTCTCTTCTCCAGGCTGAACAGCCCCAACTCTCTCAGCCTCTCCTCATAGGAGAGGTGGTCTAACCCTCTGATCACCTTTGTGGCCCTCCTCTGGACCCACTCCAACAGGTCCATGTCCATAGGACATGTCCAGCATCTGTATCTAGGACAGGGTCTGTATGTGTCAGCCAAAACTATTGTGTAGTATGGAGATTGGAAAGAAGAGGGAACAAGAGGGTTTTTTCCCACCTCACCCATTGCAAAAGCCTTTAACTGCGCTTTTGCCTGGGCCTGCTTTTAACTCTTAAGATAATTCATTTAAACATCACTTTTAAATTCTGGAAATTTAAAAAATACCTCCCATCCATAGTTCATGAAGGGGAAGGAATTCCCCACCTTGTTTGAATATACAATGAGTATATGTAGACCTCTGCTTTTAAATAATGCGATTGGCAAATCCAGTCTGAGTCCATTAAACTCGGGAGTTTAATGGGTGTGCTATCTAAAATATCATAGTTCGTTTGTAATTATTCATAGGACCATCATTCCTCTGGGTTGGGAGTCACTGTAAGATGTGCTTAATTGCTTTTAAATGGCTAGTACTATGATTGTGTATTTTGAGTGAAGTCATCAACATTGTTGCTTCATCAGGTTATCAGGAAATGGTGGGCCTTGTTTTTCTCTCTAACACTGTTTTGTACTCATAAAAGATAGTCACATTTAGTCAGAACTGACTAATCTATTTAAGTTAATATTCCCTTGAGGAAAAGCTTTAAATTTCACAGCCTACCTCACAACGTTCTTTAGGCACTTAAATAATTTCAGTCTGTTTGTGGAATACCGCAGAGTTTGTGGGTTGCCTAAACTAGTAATGAATCTGGTAACCTTTTATTAACCCTATTGTTTTATTGTTACCTATATTTGTGGGAAACGGCAAAAAAGTTGGATTTAGTATGTTTTGATACTGGAAGCTTGCTGCTGAAACAAACACCAAAAAAAGTATTATTACTTTGAACCTTTGTAATTGGCACACATTGGTCCAGTGTTAAACTGTATTCCTCTCTTCCCATTCATTTAAATGAACAGGATTCTTGATACTGTTTCTTGATGAATCCTTTACTGTTGGATGATGGAGTCATAGGGTAATTGTGATTGAAGTTAATTCTGGATGTCAGTCTGGTCAAAAGCAGGTCCAATTAGATCAGGTCATGCAGGGCTTAATAAATTCTTAAATAAACTGTTTCAATTCCCGAATGTATGACTAATATCTCTATACAACATGTATAAATCAAGAATAACTAAATTTGACTTATAATTTACTAGAATAAGTTGTGGGCCTGGCAGTTGTTTGAATATCATAGTCGAAACAACAACTATGTCCTTGCTTCTGTTCCTCTGTTCCAAATTTGAGCACCATTATGGTAGAGTTGGTATATGGGTAGCACCAAGACCCACCTAAGATTCTTGGCTTAGGGAAAAAAAAAAAATCTTATAAAATCCCTATAATTTTCCACTTAAAGTGAGCTTCACTCTTTAAATAGTGGTAGCATTAGAATAGGTAATACCTGTTGAAGCTGTGGTACCTGGTATCCGCAGTGACAGGCATGGATATACAGGGTGAGAACAGTAAGTATGGAGTGCTGCTTCCCTGGTATCGCTCTCGGCAACACGTTATAGGAAGCTGAAGAAATTTTCTAAGCCAGACATGGTATCTTTATATTTAATAACCCTTGAATAGATTTACTGCACCTGTTATTAAAGGTGTTTCAAGGGTAGTACCTCTTCTTAATTAATGTATATTAGTCACTCAGGCTAGTTTTGATGATCAAATGATCCTTGTTTGGAAAGACAAAAAAAAATATCTTTGAATGTTTGCTTAACCGTAGACACCTGATCCTCTCTCGAAGGGGACTGAATTGGGGAAGAACAGCCTGGAAGAGATCTTGCCGTAATAATTATTCATATATATATATATTCATATTCTGGGGTTGTTTTTTTTTTTTTTAATAGTCACAACTTTACTCCTATGAAATTCTAAAGCAGATGGTTGTTCCTTTTTCTTATTTTCTTTGCAGTGTCTACTTACAGATGTCTTGTAAGAACACGGGTATTTAATATTTATGCATTATCTACATGTGCACTGCTACCATTTGCCATCTACATAATTTTAGTCTTCCATCTTGCTTAACAAACAGTGTCCAGACTCTTTATTTTTACAGTGTGGTTAATAGAGGTCTTTCCATCAAAAAAGTACATAATGCTGCTGCTGTTTTTTCTTACTTCTGTGCCCCTTAAATGTCATCAAGTTTACAAGACTGGGGACGTGAACAAGCGAGTTATTCAGTTTTAAAGAAAATAGCTTGGAGCCTCTATCATATTTAACCCCTCTAACTAGGCTTAGAAAAAGTTTGAGCTGATTTGATTCTCTGAGACTGAGACATGAGCTTTGACAGAAAAAGTGTGGAAACACCATGCTGTGCTGTATTTCTTCACAGCTGAAGCAGCTTCTTTTTCTCAGAGTAAAGAGAATTTTTTTGCACCAGCAGATCATTATTAGTGTTGATCCTGTGGTACAAAAACCTGTATTTGCGTTCTGCATCCTACAGATGCAAAATAAAGGATATTTTTATCTTTCAAACAACTTTACCTGTTGATTGACAGGAATGAAATTTATGTTGCTGAACAGTAATGGGAGGGGGAAGCCAATCCAGAAAAACCCAAACAAAACAAAACCTCCCACTTTTTCCTGGAGGTTTATTAGATGAACATGACCAAGAGCTATGTGTGACTGCAAAAACCACAATGATGATAAACGAGACATGTTGTTAAATAGAAACCACTGATTATTGCCATGCACGGCGGAGAAACTGATTTAAAAACTGATCTGGTAGGAAGCTTTGCTTTTACTGCAATTTGATACAGCCTGGGTATTTGCTGTAGCTTACAGACACCTATGACCCTTTTCCTTGTCTGCTTTTTTTGCTATTATTTGAGCAATATTTGCCTCTAAATACATGATAAATCGTATTGCAATATCATAGTTACTTAGCTGAGTTCAGCAGAAATATTTTTGACTTTGTGTAGCCTTAACTGTTAATGGAAATTGTAAAAATTCATGCTTATATATTCAGAGGAAAAGAAAGCATAGCATTTAAAAATAGACAATATCAAGATTTGTGTTTATTGAGCACTTGAAGTGCATCTTTTATGTCAATTTGTAAAAAATGGTGTTGGTAGGTGATGGCTGTCCATAGTTCAGTTGCAATATTTGGCTTCATCCTCCTGTGGCACAGGGAACGTATGAGCTTCTAAATGTCAGCGCTCTCTTTTTCATCGGGGACCAGAGACTAATTCAAAAAGTATACTGGCCAACAGGTCATGTATATCTGACACATGAGAATGAATATTAGAGGTTGTGATAGTAGGAATGTATGAATCGCTACTGGTGCAGCAGAAAATAGAGATTAGTGGGATGCTACAAGCTCTCTTTAATCTCCTTGTTAAGCCCAACAAATATGTACCTGTGAACTCAATAGTGATTATAAAGATCATCAAAGACCAGAAATACAATTTGTCTTTTGAGGTCAGGTTTTTTTCCTCTCTAGATTTTTTTTTTGAATTCTTTCTCATTCCTTGTCAAATTTCTTCCTGTGATATTCCACATTATCTGCCCGTTACTGGGCTAGCATTAAAAGTCTGAATTTAGGTAGGGTTCTGACATCTTTACTCCCATCGCTTCTAACAATAATCAGAGCAAAGTTTGACATTATTTTAAAACACTTTTTTGGTGTTTTAAAGTTGGTATAAAGCAGTCTGAAATAAGTTGTCTTCTAAATACTGCTGAAGAAAGTCTTATTTACTTTACAAGTTTTTCCCTCATCCTGACTTACATATAATTTCAAAGTTTATACAAACTTCTATAGCATTGAATGTGCTGGAAATGCATTAAAACTTTCTGCAACATAGAGTGGAGCGACGCTGTAACAGGCTGAGAAGACAGTTTTGTAGAAGTGGGGATTTGAAATGCAACTGGGGTATGTTGTGGCTATTTTAAAAATAATGCATTTTAATATGAGATAGAATTCATTAGATATTTTTAGAGGTAATAACTCTGTAATTTCACGTAAGACCAAATCTGAATGCAGCTTGCCAGGTTTGTACTCCTACATCTATAAGTAATACTTTGTTTATTCTGATGAGCTGGACAGCACAGGATGATATTTAACCACATAAACCTTACTTAAAAGATACTTCCTTTTCTACCCGAAGATTGTTTGAATTTTGGGGGTAGCCGTTTCTGTGATTCCCTGACACGTGAGGACTCTGGGGTGGCTAGATGGCATTTGTACGTGTGAGCTGGCAGCAGGTTGTCTGGAAGGCGTAGGTGTGACGGAGGCGTGCGCGCTGTTGAGTAGCCGTTTGCACCGGCTTCAGCAATTCGTGACCGCATCAGGCTTGCAGCACGCAGGGTATGTGCAGGTGTGCAGGTTTATAGGTTTGTCTAGGTCTGATACTTCTGGGAAACAGATTTTCTGTGTACGTGCTGTCTGGCTGCCTTGTCTGTGCGCAGTTAGCTGGATGTATTTGAAAGCAGTATGTTCACTGTATGTATGTACCGAATGCACAAAGTACCGAGTGTGCATACATCCGGTATGTTCAGGATTTACTGAGCATGGGCCGTGCAGTTTATTCCCATGCATTCCACCTGGGAGATCCATCACACGTACATAGGAGTTTGACCCTCACTGCATGTTCATTTTCACTTAGATAAGGTTTTTATTTTTTGCAGGTAATTTAATGACAATATCGTTTACCAAGAATTTTCACTGAATGGAGAACATCTTATGGCATATTTTAAAGCAAGCTAATCATTCTTTAAAACATTTTGTAGAAGTTCTGATTTATTTTTGTTGCTCTGTGTGCTTGACTCAAAATTTGTTTTCTCTTTTCAGGCAGCTATAAATGGTGTAATACCACAAGAAAACGGCATTCTACAAAGGTAAGCATAAAAAACAAGTACACACAGAGAATGATGCTGGCTAGTAGTTACACTGTTTGCTCCTGAGTGGTAAGAAGATGATATAATTCTCCTTTTAAAGCAGTTTCTGGAGCCACAAATTCTATTCCTGGCAAAGCTCATTTAATGTTCAGTTTTTCCCATACTGATGGAGGACCAGCTTGAATGCCTATTCAAATGAATTCATTTTTATTTTGAATTCATTGGTTGTCTGGTCATTCTGTGCAGGGTTGTCTCTTTACTAAGTCTGGATTTTGGTATGCTTTGTTGGATGTCAGGACTTGGTTGGTGGTGTGGGGTTTTTTTGTTGTTTTGTTTTGTTTTTTTTTCCCTCCAAAGATCTAAAAATTTGCAAGGCAAATCCACAGATGTTCCTGGCTAAGTATTTTCTTTTTCCTTGTGCATTTTTAAAGGTATTGATATTCCATGCTCCCCTGACCCTGGCCAAAAATGTTTGTATTTTTGTATTGTGTTTTTTTTTTTTGTTTTTTTTTTTTTAAATTGAATTGGGGGCAGCAGATACTGTGTTAGATAAAGTAAGGTTCCTCCCTTCTAAAAGTAGCTTTACTGATTTTTTTTCAGCTTCTGAATTAAATTTTGGCTTGTATACTGATGCCTGGATATCTTGAAGTCACTGAAGCATAAGCTCCTAAGTGCTGATGAGGCAATTGAAAACAGCAGAACAGGAATTGAACTACTTGAGAGAGACAGTAAAATAGTGTTTAAAATTTTGTTTAGAAAAATACTCAATGTACTATTTTAAAAAGTTTATTTTAATGATGAAAAAAAGATACATAGTGTAGGTAAAGTGGTGTTTTGGGATCTCTGTCAATACTTACTAAAGCTATCATTAAATTGAGTCAGTTTTTGATTCAGGATAAAACCTTATTTGCTCAGCAAAATTACTAGATGTTTATATACCATGAAGCCTACCTAGTCCATTTGAGATCAAGTCTCGGTTGTGCTGAGCACTCTTTCTACCTACGTTAATAAGTCCTGACCTCAAAGCATTTATGTGCAAAATACCAGAATGTTTGGAACCATTTGGTCAGGGGGAAAGAGCTGGGGAGTAGTTATGGCTGACTTGGATAATAATCTGGTCCAGTGTGCACTGACAGTTTTCTTCCACACTAATTTATTCATTTTTAGAAATGATTAAACAGTCAAATGTGTCTCAATTTTTTTTCTGTTTTTATTCCAATGGAAGGTTTTAAAGGGAGCGTCAGAAGACTTAGAAGCCTAGTTTCCAGTGGTTTTCAGATGAGGCTTGTTTTACTGATGTGAGGCTTTTTATGTTCCATTAGAGGTTGCCAGTCAGATATGTAGGATGTCTTTTGTGGTGGAATCAAATAGAACTAATACAACTGGACTTGAAGTAAGTTAGTTTACTGAAGGGAAAAAAAAAATACATTTTATTTTATAATCCAGTTGTGTTGTCTAAAAAAAAAAAAGGGGCGGTGAAAAATCCACTGCTGCTTGGGTGTTCCAACAAAATGGTTATAGTACTTAATTCATAGTTGGCCATCAGATTTAAGACAATAAGATATCACTTGGTATTTATACTCTTCTAAATTCTGAAAATAAGACTCTTTCCTCTACACTTTTGACCTCTGAATTGGGTCTTTGAGATTTGAGTGTGGGTCTTTGTAACTGGGAATTCATCCATCCGAGACTGCCAATGTGAGAAGGGAAGAAGCCCCTTGTTTTACAAGCATAACATGGTTTTCTTTTTCAAATGTGGAAATCTTAATGATGGGATTTGCAATAGCTGTGTATAGTTTCTGGACTTCTGTGACATGCATGCCGTCCACATTTATGCTTTTTTAAGTTCAAGCCTCTTCTAGATGACAAATTTGACTTGCTATAAGAAGCATTTCCTTTGAGAGATCTTGTGGTGTCTTCAACAAGGGCACAATGCATTTTCCAAATAAGTTCTGTTTAAGAAGAGAAATGAGACAGCTTACATCTCAGCGTTTCCTAAATCCTTCTTTTCTCAGCTTCCATTCTTTCAGGGCATACGTTTCATTAGCTTGTATCCTCCATCATGATAACCTGTAATTGCCCAGAGCAGATAACCTTCCTGATAAGAACATCTACAAGGTAAAGCTCTAGGCTTACCCTGTGAAGTTTCTTGCCTTCCACATGTAATTTCTGTACATCATAGAGTTTTTTGGCTTGGAGTAGTGTTCCTCAAATTTCATATTGTGTTACCTTTGTTTCTAATCCCAGTTACATGCTTCTTGTGGAGAGGCTCACTGAGGAAGATTAAGTGCTTCTGGGTAGTGAGGGTTTCCCAGTTTATTCTGACCTGTAATGCTGTATGTGTCCTTGAGCCAGGTATGGAGACATCCTTGTATGAATGTCCAGGAGGCTTGAAGGATTTTGAACTTAAAGGCAAGCTAGAATTCAGCATTGCATTACTGTTGTACTTCTAGGTATTTTTTGCAATATATACCTCATTATCATAATTTATTTACCTTACATACATAACTATTATTATATCTGACTTGTTCTCCACTAATTTGGTATTAGAAAATACCAATCCACGTGCAGTACTTTAAGTTTTATTTCTTATTCTCATTTCCATTTGATACTAGCCCAATGATGTAGAAAGCTGATCGTTGCCAGGGTGCCAATTTTCATATGGTCACAGCACTCCTGGAACAGGAAATAATGCTTCTCAGGATAATTCTGATGTTAATTACATAGTGAACTTTAGACTCAAATAAAGGCTTAAATGCTAGCCATCTAGCTGTTCTATAGCATTTCTGAGTCACTGAAATGATATTAGTGATAGGAAAGTTATTTTCTAATTATTAATAAAACAGTGTTTTCAGATATGATAGTGTAGTTTATTCAAGAGGTGTGTGCTGTGAATCATAGTAAGTGAATGATACTGTTCACTTTGCTTTGCTAACTTTTAATTAAACATATCAAGCTGTTCTGTTTAAACTTTCTTATCTGCATATCTTTCAGTGAGTACGGTGGAGAGACTTTACATGGACCAACGTATGGCCCCACAAGTCATTCTACAGCAGCTTCTTCAACTCCTTCCTCATCCTCAGCATTTCGCCATGTAGTGCCATCAAGACAAATAGTGGAAAGGCAACCTCGAATGCTTGACTTCAGGGTTGAGTACAGAGACAGAAATGTGGATGTAGTACTTGAAGACAGTTCCACAGTTGGTAAGGTTTTGTAAAAATGAAATGAAAACTGTTGTGGTAAAGTTGTTAAAAACAAACAAAAAAGACCCAACCCGAATAGTCCAAATACTTTAAAAAAAAAAAAAAAAAAAAAAAAAAGGAAAAAAAAAAAACCCCTAACAAAGCAAAACCCTTAAAAAAAGAAAAAAATCCCCCAGAAAATGCAACCTTCACAGCTACTAACCATTTTCAAATCTCTTTGCAGCTTTAAAAAAGCAAAATTTCACTAATCCATTGTAAAGGTTAGTGATCTATCAAATATTTATTTTGAAATCCAGTTTTCTTATGAATTTGCTTCAGAAACGAAATGAAGATTCCTGATTAAGTTGAGGCATGAAAATGTAATTTGGGGTAGAATTAGTGTAGATTGCAATTTACTAATAAGCGGATAATCTTGGCATTTCCTTTTCAAATCTCTATGGCATCTCTTTATGTGCAGGATTAGTGACAAGATTTAGAGGAATTCTTTCCAGTGTGAAGAGCATCATTGCATTCTTCTTTTTTCAATTTTTACTTGACTCTTTTGTGCAAATTAAAATTTCTTTTATCAGTTTTATTGTCTTTATCCTAAAACTGATGCATTTTGTAACAATATGTTAGAAATATGCTATTGTTAGCATTGCAGAGCATGTTGTTTTTTACATTCCCCAAACTGTCAGTTAATTTACTTTTGCTAAGGAAGAGTATTTTTTTTTAATTTTTCATTTTTAGTGAAGAATCTATACAAATCAAAATGAGGAACTAAATGAAGAAATAGTTGATCAAAACAATTTTCAGTGCTGCAGTCTTATGTCTGTGATGAAATTTTGAAATTGAAACTTTTGATCTTTAGTTGTCTCTTTAGCGTTCGATTTGGTATTGGTTGGTGCCACCTAGTGGCGATTAGTTTTAGTTCCTGATTAATGTTCCATGTATTCCACAGTACTGCACTAAGTGGCATCCATGCAAAGGAGATATAAAAGTCTGATCAAATCAGAATTTGCAGCCGTAGTATTTTATTTTTTTTTTTTCTTATTAACTTCTTTCAGGTATAAATTATTAAGCTGTAAGGCAGAAGCAGTCAATGTAGCATTTTTGTGTGTATCTTGGCATATGAAGGTTGAAGGCAGCCTTGTGTTTAAAGTCCTGAGAGAAGTGAGCAAAGCCTTCCAGCGAAGGGCAACCAAGATGATTGAGGGATTGGAGCATCTCCCTTATGAAGAAAGGCTGAGAGAGCTGGGACTTTTTAGCCTGGAGAAAAGAAGGCTGAGGGGAGACCTTATTACTACTTACAAATATCTAAAGGGTGGGTTGAAGGAAGATGGAGCCACACTCTTCTCAGTGGTTCCCAGTGACAGGACGAGGGGCAATGGGTAGCAAGTTGGAACATAGGAAGTTCCATTCCAACACACGAAAAAACTTCTTTACAGTTCGGGTGACAGAGCACTGGCACAGGCTGCCCAGGGAGGTTGTGGAGTCTCCTTCTCTGGAGATTTTCAAAACCCGCCTGGATGCAGTCCTGAGTAATGTGCTCTGGGCAACCCTGCTTTAGCAGGGGAGTTGGACTAGATGATCTCTAGAGGTCCCTTCCAACTCTGAAAATTCTGTGATTCTGTGAAATGGTAGAATTTCAAGTGCTGACTTCAGGAAAGAAGATTTTTGGCTTTTTCAGGGATCTGCTTAGCAGGATCCCATGAGCGACTGCCCTGAGGACAAAGGGGCCCAAGAGGGCTGGTTGATCTTCAAGGACAACCTCTTCAGAGGATGAGAACAGTCCCTTCCAACAGGCAGAAAGAGGAGCAAGCATGGCAGAAGGCCAGCACAGAACAAAGAATTCAAGACTAAGCTAAATGCGAAAAGAAAGTACACCGAAGATGGAAGGTAGTGATGGGGCTACCCAGGAGGAATACAGAGGTGTTGCCAGAGTATGCAGGTTTGGAGTTGGGAAGACTCAGGTCAGGTGGATCTGAAACTACTGAGGGATTAGAAGGGCTTCTGTAAGTACATCAGCATGAAAACAAAGGCTGAGCCTACTGTTCAGTGGCGATTCCTGAACTTGGTTCGTGGGAAGATTATGGAGAAAAGCTTTCTGGAACCCCTTTTCAAGCACAGGAAAGAAAAGAAGGTGATTTGGAACAGCCAGCATGGATTTGCTAAGGGCAAATTGTGCCTAATCAATGTTATTTGCCTTTTATGATTTGATGACTGGCTCTGTGAACAAGGGGAGAATGATGGATGTCACTTTGACTTTAGTAGGCCTTTGACATACTCTGCTGTAGTATTCTTATAGTCATATTGTTAAGAAAAGGACTGGATAAGTGGGATGATAAGGTAGGTAGATAATTGCCTGGACTGCTGGGCTCAAAGTCTGACTGGTGAACAGTAACTAGTTTAGGGATGTCATTCAGGGATTGATCCTGGGGCCAATGTTGCTTAATGTCTTTATTAAAAACCTGGTTGTTAAGGCTGAGTACTTTTGGTAAGTTCACAAAAAATACCAGATCAGAGAAAGTGGCTGATATTGTGGAGGATAAGGCTGCTATTTAGAGGGCCCTGGACAGCCTGGAGAAATGGGCTGAAAGAAGCCTTTTGAAGTTCAAAGAAAGTGAAGTTGAAGTCCTGCATCTGGGATAGGGTAACTATGTTATCCTGCCAGATAACTGCCTGAGGGCTGACAAGCTAGGAAACAACTTCATAAAAAACGGAATCTAGGGGTGCATCAGCAGTGCACCCTTACAGTGAAGGCGGCCAGCCATGTTCTAGACTGTTAGCAAGAGTGTAGCTGATGGATCCAGGGAAATAATTATTCCCCGCTATTCAGCACTTGTGAGACTGCACCTGGAACACTGCATCCAATTTTGAGGTCCCCAGTAAAAGGAAGACGACATTTTGCGGTGAGTCCAGCAGAGGCCAGCAAGATAGTTAGGGGACTGGAGCACATAGCAGCATAGGAGGAGAGGCGCAGAGAACTGGATTTGTTCAGCCTGGGGAAGAGAAGGGGAGATGTAGAGACCTTGCCTCTGTCTACCACTGTCTGCTGGGAGGACACAGAGAAGATGAAGCCAGATTCTTCTTGGAGGTGCACAATAATAAGCTGAGAGGCAATGGATGCAATTCGCAACATGGAAAATTCCCATTAGATATGTTAGTGGTGGTTTTTTGTTTGTTTTTGGTTGGGTTTGTTTTTTTTTTTTAAGTTGTGAGAATGGTGAAGTACTGGAACAGGTTGGTCAGAGAAGTTGTCAAACTTCCATCTTTAAAAGTGTTTAAGAGTCCGCTGGACAGATCCTTGACTAAACCAGTTTAATTAGACCTTTGAGAAGCTTGGGCTGGATGAGTTCCTGAGATACCTTCCAGCCTGAATTATTTTGGAACGGTAATAACTACAGGGAGAGGAGAGCATCGCAACGTGCAAAATGTTGAAGAAGTTGTCAGAGTAGTTAAATTGTATGAACACGCCAGTCCTTTAGGTCGGGACTATTGAAGATGTAATGGGGTATCAAAACCACGCATCCTCTTCGTTGCTGGCAAAGCCCATTGCTCCAGATAACATGCCTCTGCAAATGTGTGTGTCTAGTATACACGGTGTACAACTATTCAAACACATGTCCAAATCGTCATGTCCTCATGTGATTCTCCAATCATTCATGCTTTATGTGATTTTTTTTTTTTTTAGCTTCATTTGTCCTTTACTGTTTGAAGTATATGTTACAAGAGTAGCTAGATTAAAAATGGTTTTCATAGTAAATTTGTCTTTGCTCTCATTTTTTAACTATAACTCAGTACTTTTTGAAATAAAATAGTAAGTGTGTATATATTATATATTTTCTTTGTTTTCTCTTCAGGAGATATCAAACATATTCTAGAAAATGAACTTCAGATTCCTGCATCTAAAATGCTGTTAAAAGGTTGGAAGACTGGAGATGTAGACGATAGTGTAAGTTTTCAACTGTGTTTTCAGTTAACTGAATTTGGTTTCAAACTAAGCATCTGTGGGTGGGGATTAAAGTGCAAGAATTGTGAGTTTCAAACAGTGTTAGATGTCTTGGGTGGCATACAGGGAACTCTTAAACTAAAACATTGCAAAAAACATCGCAAAAAACATCGGGACAAATCACTTCAGTTAGTGTTGTTTTTATATATAACGTGGCCCCCCTACAAAAAGAATGTTAGGAAGTTAACAGTAAGTATATCCCAAAACAAAATATTTGGTGGTACTGTAAATAAGTATCAGTAATTAAAAGAAATAAAATACGTCGCAATTGGTGAATGTTTTATACTTATGATGCTTTTTCTCCCCTCAGACTGTTTTAAAAACTCTACACTTGCCAAAAAATAATAGTCTTTATGTTCTAACACCTGACCTGCCTCCTCCTACTTCAAGTCATTCTGGGTAAGTCTTTTGGCCACAAATTCTACTTGTGTGATTTGGTTTTGTGTGGTTTTTATGAAGCCACATGTATCCTTGCAGGAATCTGCAATCAGTAATTACAGAGTGTTTTCACTAGTAGTGAAACTCTAGTGAGTGTTGGGATGAAGCACCCCAACACCTCATTGTTGAAAAGAAGGTTGTTAAGTTCTTTAAACGTTTGGTGTGGTACGTGAACCGCTTAGGTACATACAGAATTTTTCACCTCCTAGGTGCAATGACTAATTTAACAAAAACTTAGTCCCTGTGGAACTGAGAGCTGGCCTTTCAGAAGTTACTGTGTTATGTTGGTTCATTTAACGTAAACTTGTATAAATCCTTGCCAGCAGATCAGAATTTTCTTTCTGAAATGTTTGTTACATTATTTTATCTTGTCTTCTTAGACTTTTAAAATGTACGTAGGTAGGCTAAATAATCAATTTCCTCTGAGCAGAATATCTTTTATTGCTGTTTTGAATACTCAAAAAATTAACCATGAGTGTTCATATGTCAGTGAATGTTGCTAAGGTTTGAAAATGAAATGTTATTTTATGGTAAATGGAATCTTTACTCTTATAAAGTAATTTGCGATTACTTTGCCTTGTTTTCTTTCCCGCCCTTCCCTTTTGCAAAGGCAGACCTGTACGTGTTCTTTACCACGAAAATATGAATTTTATTCGGTAGCCACTAGAGGGCGCGCAGTAATTGAGGCTGGAAGAGCCGCGCTGCTGCGGGCCAGCAAGCGAGTGGGGAGGGTTGCGTTTGGAACTGGACAAATTGTGGGATCATTAGACTAGAGTGCCTTCGAGTTGTCTGAAGAGGGAGTTGTTTTTCTGCTGTTGCAGCCAATAAAAGACTATTCTACAAATGCAGTCGTATTACTGGTGAAGGAAATTCTTTGGCAATCCATGGAAATAGGCAACTGGTTTCCAGGTGACTAAAAGTGCTTCATATATTACTAAAAGGTACTTGTGCACATAACTGTGTAGTCTGTGGAGGAAATAAGAATGCTGATAAGAATTGTAAAAATAATAATAAAGAAAAGAAGCATTAAGAGAGCGAATAGTGGGACTGGAAAGGAGGGAGCAGGGTTGTGGTGAGCTGTGATGTGAACTGTATGTGCTTACAGGAGCTGTAGTCGTGTGTGAGGACAATAAACCATTGTACTTAAGCAGCTAATTGAAGGACAGTGAAAATACTGTGGAAAAACACTGTAGATACTAACTGTTTGGATTTTTTAAAAATCTGTTTCCGATTTCAAAATTTTCTACCCAGGTATCACTGTGTATTGTAATTTGAATGTCTTTGGTTCTAGAAAGAGAACTGGGGTCTGAAGAATGTTGTTTATTGCAACTGCAATAAACTATATAACAGCAAACTGTTTAAAAACACTTCTTAGGCTTTTTTTTATTGGATGAATAGTTTAAAAGAACTTTACTTGCTAGTAAAATCAAAGTGGTTGTTACCTTTACAGTTTAGACTTGTTTCACAGTGGAGATTAGTTCTGGATATTTTTAAAATAAAGTCGGTAGCTTTGGGATAGCAAATGATGATTAATTAGTGGCTACTTAAACAAGGATAATTTGAAGGCTAGATCATCTCCCTGAAGTCATAAATTCTAGATGAAAGGGGAGGCTTGCCTCCAATTAAAGCATCAATGCAGATCAAAACGCATCTAATTGAAGCAATGTACCAAACCCAGTTACACTGTTTACTGCCTACTGTTAGGTCAGTTATTATTCAGATTAGTTTGTTACCCACAATTTTTAAAAGCATGGTGCTCACATCTATTATTAATGGATGTTAAGGAACTTTGCCTCTTTCTTTGTGAGTTCATCTGTCGTTTTCTTCAAATGCCTTCTATTTTGAACTGCAGACAAATAGTAGTGATTTGAATATCTCCAGAAAGTGATATTTGAAAAGCCTGAGATTTCAGTATGTGATATTTTATGTATATGCCCTTCTTAAAAGGAGCAGTCTGGTCACAGCGCTATAAACTCCAATTTCTGCCTGTTCTTGACACTGAGGGAGAACAGTGTCTGAAACACCCTTTCGCAAAATATTGGTATGTAAGCATTGAAGTTTATTGTGACAGACTGAATGGGCTTAACCCAGAACTGACTTAAAACTAGAGTCTAAATGTAATGGCAAAGGGATCCTGCAGTTTAAACAAGCAAAAATCTCCTAGGGTATCTTCATTCCTCAGTGGCATATCTAAAGCTTTTATAGGTAGTAGAAACCCAGTGAATTACTACCATGTGCTAGTAAATTGAGGTGTAAAGATTAAATTTAAATGTCAAATACCACCTGTAGGGTTACATATCCTGCTCTCACAATTTTAGTTGGCAAAGCCCTACTTATCCATGCATGATATCCAGAACAATAACAATGTGTTCTATAAGCTGTTGACGTAATGAAACCTGATTTCTGGTGAATTCCTGCCTCATCCCAGAGTAGCTCAGCCCTCTCCCTGCATGCTTCCCATGATCTCACCTACCTCTGACACTGCCTCCAGTTCTTCCCATTTATTTTGTAGCACCTATGTATCTGTTCTCCAGCTGGTAGTCAGGTAACATCGAAGAAAAGGAGACATCACATACTGTAGGTAGTTCTGTAATTGTTGGCTACAAGTTGGCTGAATGGAGTATAAAAATACTATGCTTGTACTGCAGCCTTTTACTAAGGGGGGTAGAAATTTGGGTCCCTCTTCTACCCAGCTGTTGGTTTACACCCAGACTTTGAGACCTTTATAATGCTGTCAGACCTCCTTGAAACTAATGAATGTGTTCAAAAGTTACCGGATGGGACAGGTGGGTGAGAAACACATTATTTCCTTTGGAAAGAGGCCTTAAAAGGAAGGTGCCAAAGAACGTCCATCATTTAATTGTCCAAGGGGAGGAGAGATCCCTTGCACCGGCTTTGTCAGGTTAGATTCTTCACTTCCTCAGAGTTACTTTCCTTCCCTTTGTTGCCTTGGGCACTTCTTGAAAGCTGGCAATATCCAGTTCAGGGTAAAGGTTTTTGGGGAATACAGTAGAGCATCAAAAGTATAGGCATACCAGTCTGGCCGTGGAGCTAGGTCATCCTGATCATCTCTCCTTTTTATCTTGCATGTTCTGGGAGACACTTTTTCTCAGTTTTTTTTTTTCCCCAGTTGTCACGTCAATGGGTATAATGTATTTTATATTTTTTTCTGTTTGCTGAATAGCTGAAACTCTTAGATACTTTATTAGACCTGAGGAATCATTGGAAAGTTCAAAACAGTTAAAAGCTATTTGACCAGGTGCATACCTTTGTGATTATTACAAATAATGTATTTTTGCTAAGTGATAGTAATCTATTTAAGAGATGTCATCAGCTGTGTGGATAGGAATAAATCCCCCCCATGTTTCAAGTAATGGGTCCGTACATCGCTGAGTGCGTGTATGTTAGATTGTTGCAGAGAAGTGGTGATTGTGGCATGGTGTCTTGTACGCTATCAACTGTAGCAGAGTGTTAATTAAGAACGATGTAACCTGCAACTCCAATTATTAGTATTGTCTGTTTAGCTGGACAGGAGCAGTGCCTTGCTTTAGTTACTTTGAAAGCTTCAATAAGAATGGTAAGATTAATGTTTTATTTTCACATCTGCTCATGAGACAGTTTAAAAATCCTGAAGTTTAAAACGCAGTAGAATGTAAACAAAAGGGCTTCTGCTCATTTACATGTTAGCCAGATTTGCTAACTGATTGCTGTTTGAACCTAATCTACCACCTCCTGCTGCATTAGCTACAACAAACATTACATTTACATACTGATTTCTTATTTTGTTTTAATGTAAATAATCTGTAATTACAGTAAATTTGGACTTCTGTTGACATGAGCTTGTATAAATCTGTAAGTTTAAAATGGAAATGTTAATTACCTTGTGTCATACCTATTTATATAAAATTCAGAGATTTTGGGGGAGATCTCCATGTGACCGAGAAAGATATTGCCTAATGGGAAATACAGAATGTATTTCATAAAAACTTACAGAACTGAAATGAAAAGGAGCATTTGCTGATCATTGATTAAGGATATGCTTTTGGTTTCAAAGCTTAAAATATTACTAAAATTTCAAAGAAAAATGCTGTTAAAAAGCAAAGTGTTACATAAAAAATCAAAGCATTAAGGCAGTAACTTAACAGTTGATACAACCAATCTATTTTATATATAAAGTGTTACAGAAGAATAGAAAAGCAGTAAAACTGGAAGCTTAAAATGTAGTAAATATCAATACTAATACCATCTTGCTTCAGCATTGCATAGGCTGCTTGAAGAGTTGCTGACCCTTAAGATTAGCATTATTTGCAGTTACACATTTTTTGGCTAAATATTGTTTCTATTCTTAATTTATTAGAGTTCTGGTTTATAAATTGTACTGTATTGGAATTTGGATGGAGTGGCTAGTGAATAAACTCTTTCCAGACTTAATTGAGTTTTGATATTTTGAGTTTAGCGGAAAAAAAAAAATCTTATAACTTCCATTGCTTGAAATTAAAATTTCAAAGAGGAACATTTTTGTTTGCACATTCAAACCCAGCTGAAGTTTCAACGCCAGCTGAATCCTGGTCCACCACTGAGGTTTCTGTGCATTGTGATAATGCGGATAACCAATGCTATGTAGGCAATCCACATGGAATCCTAAACTGGCCTGAGTCTCTCTTGCTAGAACTGGTCAGTGATGACTGTGCTCAGGTCTATTTTCTTTTGTCTGTTCTTGGACTTCTTTTTGGGTGTAGGCAGAGTTCCTCTAATGGAGGATTGGTGGCCAAAACCACCATTGAGTTCCCTTGCCTCCTGCGCTGAATAGTGAATGTATAATTATTCAGCTGAGGAAAAAATAAATGTAATGGCAGAATATAACCTATCAGCAAATCATTTTGAAAGCTAGGGTTTGTAGTAGGGGGAAGTGGTGCTGATGAGAGTGGCCTACTTTAATCCTGTTCCTAGAATTTGTTTTTCTTTTCCCACTAATTAATTCTCAGATTAATTAAAATCTGTTAGCACTGGTGGCAAAAAAAGAAAAGGGCAAAAAGAAAATCTGTCTTGACTTTAATGGGACCTGGGGTTTGGCCCTGATTTTTTTTTTTTTTATTCCCCCTTTTTTCTTTTTTTTTTTATTTTAATGCAGTTGTTTAATTTGGAACTTTGTAGTCAATTGATAACATTTGCAGGGAAATGAAACTGCTGCAAACACTGAAGCCAAAACTTTAGAAATGTGCATTGTGTTCAAAGTCAGTCTTCTCACTACAGTTATGTGCATCTAAAAAGAAATAAAAGTAAGCTTCAGTTTATTGTCTATGAGAAGTCCCCTTTAAATACACTTATTTTGCACATTTGATCATGGCCTTAGTGGCTGAAAATACAGTTTTAGGGCAAGGTATGTTTTGGAAGCAGAGTTCTATTGGCACGAAGAATTTGGGGTAATCTACGTCCCTAGTTGCTGGAGGAAATGAATATGGGAGGGGGTTGACATCGCTGGCTGTCCAACTGCGTGTTCAAATCGACTCCATCCTGCAGAGAAGCGTTGGTACATGTAGGAAATCCTTGGCACAATCAGCCCATCAGATGTGCCATCAATTCCTCCTCCTGTTGACTTTCTAACATGTATGGTCCAGGTCTTACGACAGCTAGACCATATGAAATTTTGTTGTAGGAGCTCAAAGGATTGGATCAGTTGACCACTGCATTTCTATGTAAGCAGAAGTGATATTCCTTGTTATATTATTTTTCTGAAGAAAAGGTGAATAATTAACCATGCACTTTAATTGCTAACACTTTTAAAACCAATTTTTGCCTCAATTTTTTCAGGGTGTTTTTTTTTTTTTTTTTTTAGCCAGCTTCCTTTTCAGCCTCCTCTGTGACTGTATTTGGCTATGAATATGTACTGAGAACTTGCTTGTTAGCAACATTCAGCTTGTGTTGTTTAGAAATCCAAAATGTAGAGGTGTCAAAGTTGTTAGTTACTTCAAAACTTGAGGCTTTTAATTTTAAGGCACTTAAATGTGTTTGAAGAGTATTTTTTTTCCTTTCCTAAATACTTTCTGCTATCACATCCAGATGAAATAGAGAAGTGGTAAACCTGTCCTATGAACAGATGCTTTTTATTAGCATGCTGTATTTTGGATAGTATTGAAGTGTGCGTATCTTGCACACCTTGAGAGACTGAGGATTTGATCAAACTAGCCTGTTTCATTCTATGTTTACATCAGCTACAGAATGAAAACCTGAGTCACGTTAGTGGTTAGCATCTACAGATTTTCAGATAGAGTGAAAAATATCTATAACAGAGCCTTGTGCGATTCTGTATGGAATCCAGAGCCATTCACATATGCTGTAATTAATGTTTTCAGAGCAATTAAATATGTCATTTGCCTCCAGTATTTGCTGAAAACAAATAAAAAAATCAGAGTCTGAAAAAGCACAGCAGGATGTTCTAGTTGCCACTGAACATTTGCCAAAAGAAAATATGGTTATTGGCAATATGAAACGTACTGTTAACATTCAGATTTGGAATTGCCTTTGAAAATAGGCATCCAACTTTTCAGGACTCTCTTTTTTTCTCTTTTGAAGGACTGTTAAGTATTTTAAAATTTTTTAGGGTTTTTCTTACAAGATTTTGTGACAAGTGCAGCTAACTTCACATTCAGCATAGATGACTTCAGTTACATTGTAGCGTCTCTCATACACTTCATCATACTTAGTATTGACAATGAATTATATTTATCTTCCATATTACAATACCATAAAAGACGAGAAATAGCACTTCATGATTTTGTTTTGTAGTATGTGATTATTATGCTTAAGATGTCACAGAATCCAAATTAAGTTGCCGAGTGAAGATATTTTTGTAAGGTATTTTTTCTCAAGATGCTAAAGCAAATTGTGCATCTCTTGCTGAAGCATCCAGTCAGTATTGCATGGGTTCACTACCATCTGAGCAGCAAAACTGCAGCTCTGTAATTCTGGCAGAAGTTAAAACTAACGAATCGGGACTCAGATAATCTAGCAGTCTTTCTTGTCTTTTTGTATCTTAAGATACAGCCGCGCTCATCTGCATACAGAATTTGTCCTTTATTGTTAAGAGGAATGGCATGTTGAAGTGTCATGGAACAGTGAAGATGCGAAGGAAAAAACCGCAGTCTGTCATTCTTTTAAGAGTGTGTGATAAGAAAAAGAAGAATCAAATAAGCCCAATTTAATTCCATATGCCACTGAACAGGTCAAGTCTGCGTACATATGGTTTAGCAATCCAAGCTATGCTACAACGTTGCTGCAGTTTTGTATATAAGACTGCACACAGCTGTAATTGCTGTGTCTGTAACAGAAGCCTTGCCTTCTGTTTTGAAAAGTAGATAACTGCAGTTTTGTACTTAATTAAGCAAACAGGATGCCTTTTTAACATCCAAATGTTTTGTTATCAGGGAAGTCACCAAAACCCCAAGTTTATGACAACATGAACATATAGTTGGCCTGTTTAATCTGTATCTTAAGATTATTTTTTTAATTCATAGTATTAAGGTTGGTTTAACGTACATTTAAAACAATTTGAGCAGAACTAACTTTTCTAAATGCTCAATACCCACATGAGATATTTTGCCGTGGTTAGTTTTCCACTTCTAATGAGCTGGATTTATGTGCTTTGAGTGAAACTAAGTGGAAGAATTTCCGTTTGGTTTATGCTTCAGGTAACCCTAGAGAAGCGAGAGCATGCTTTGCCTTGTTTTACTTACCACCAGTTTTTAATGTGCATTGTAGCTTGATATTTTGTCTGGTCATCAATACGCTTACAAGCCTGGTCTTAATGGCATTATGAGTGCTAAATATACCTGATGTTTGTGAAGATAATGTAACTCTCGATTTTGAGAATATTTAACATTAGAAGAGCTTTAAAGGCTGAAGTCACCTTATTAAGGAAGGAGTTCAGGAATGGCCTTTGGTCATTCTCAGCATGCTTCCTTGCATTTAAGAGTGAAAAGAGAGATGATAATGTTGTGCCTGGACTTGTCCATGTAGAGTTTAGGGTACCCTGGGGTTTTTGCATCTAACTGTAAAACAAGCTATAACATGCTTATCCCTGATTTTCTTGTTTTTCTTTCAACCATTTCAGGGCCCTGCAGGAGTCATTAAATCAAAACTTCATGCTGATCGTCACCCATCGAGAAGTCCAGCGGGAGTACAACCTCAACTTCTCAGGAAGCAGTACCATTCAGGAGGTGAGTGCTGCTGTTTCACAGCTGAAGAATAAATGTAGCTCATTATAGCTAATGCCAGCTCTGTTAAAGAGGGTTTACACGGTCCTGATAGATATTCCTTTATTTTATTAGTCTCTTTTTTGGTTTAATCAACTGGATCATCAAGATTGCTGTAATTTGATTAAAGAACTTGGCCTAAAAAAGGTTTTCTATTAAACTGTACAGAGAAGATGTTTCTTTTTGCCTTGTAGTAGCAAAATATATGAAAAGTGCTAATTGAATTATTCTGGAATGATGAGGAAAGGCAGTTATTCAAATTACATTTTATTTTTAAGCCCCTTGAAGCTCCCTCTGTCTTCCCTTCTTTCAACCAGCTCCATCTCCATTTTGTAGACATCTCTGCCATTACTGTTTGTTATCGTAGTGCTGTAATTGTTACTGCCTTAGTGGCCAAATGGTTTTGTGTGTAATGGATGTCACTGTTGTTCTTTAGAATGGCCAGCAAGGGGTGATATTGTAGAGAAATTAGTCAGAATTAAGTCCTGTAGGAACAAATATCTCTAATATGACTCTGGACCCTCTGAATTTAGAACAAGCAGCCCTTGCATATTTTTAAAACTCCTTTCTAAAGCCAAAGGTTGTTGTCTAATGGTCCATGGTATGTCTAATGCCAGATGTTTCGGATGTTATTTTCCATATAACCTGCTAACTTCTGGAAACATGACAAACAATCTAGAAATGTGAATCTTCAGAATCCACATTACAAAATATTAAGATTAAATGTTTGCTTTTCAAATGAAATGTATGTTTGCTATTGGTCTGACACTTTTCTCAGTCTTTTAGGGTTAAACAGATTTTATAGAAGTTTTTCATGTCACATGCTGACATCGTAGACAGAATTATTTTAAGTTCTGTAATATTAGCTATAGGAGCAATATCTCGTACAACAATGAAAAACAATCATTAACTGTTTTCATTGTGAATCCTGTTATTCTTAAGATCTAAATTCTGATCTTTCCCCTGCATGAAAGCCTGCTTTCCACTTCACCTTTTTAAACCAATTATAGTAAGTTGTTTTTTTTTTTAAATAATATGAACAAACAAATATAGTTGCCTGAGTTTGTGTTTTGGGGAGCCAAGCTCTGACTCTTCACAATTAAAAAGAATTTGAATATTTATGGGAATAAATTATCAGAATATTTGGTTTTAATTTTAAAATGGTGAGATTCTAAAAGAAAACGCATACATATATGCATATTGTCTGATTGTTTTTTTATCTATGCTTTATCAATTACTCCATTGCTTGTGAGTCTTACCTGTCTTAAAGGAACCAGAAAGCTGTGACAGTGCACGGGAGTCTAGGCTGCCTTTAACTGAAGTTTTCTTGTTTGTTGTTAATGGCAGGTTACAGTCAACATGCTAACATATAAAGTCGACTTAATTTGAAAGTCAGTTATGATTTTCCCCATTAAACAACCAAAATCCAAAAACCCCCTATCATCCCATAATCAGCATGAGCATCAAACCTTTCTTTGCCTTGCTGTCTTGTATCTAAGTATTACATCCAGTATAGTGTTTAAAATTATGAAGACCATTTCAGAGGCTAAAATGAAAAGAGAACTCCGGACCTTCTTGTGCAGCTGATGCTGAACAGGTGAATATGTCTGTGCACAGTCTCGTGGAAGTCACTGGGGATTTGGCTGAGGTAAAAGGGTTGGCGAACATTTGTCTAATTATAGAAAACAACCACTCTTTTGTATGTTAACTCCCTAATGGCTTTTTAATTTATTTTTTTTTTCTTTTAGCATGGAGTAAGCATTGTAACAAATGATTGATGAATGTAGTTAGTCTGTGCGATGTGGAGGAATTGGTGCTGTCTTTCATTCTTTTTCTCCCTTGTCTCTCTCCTCTCTGGAGAATGTTAGATTTTATTTTTTTTTTCGTCTTCACTCTCTTGTTCACACTTTAACAAATTAATAGTTTACTTTCCTTCTGGTATATTTTTGTAATCGTGGAAAAAGCTCTATGCGAGTTGCAGTTGCCAACCACAAGAGGGCAGGAAGGACTATTCAATTATTACCTAAAAATGCCGTTCAGTGTTTTCAAATTAGCTTCTGGTATATTAACAAAAAGGAGTATAATGGCCAAGTTATTGTTTGATTTACAGATAATTGGCATATTGCAGGGAGGAGACTTAATTTCACCCTTTTAAATTAAACAGGGAGATTTAAAAAGACATAAAATATTCATTAATGTTCAGTGATTATAAAGCAGTGGCATATATTTATTCTACCTTTATTACTGTTTCGATGGGAAAATACTGCAAATATTTCAGAAATCGACTTGGCCATACTGACAAGTTGAAATGTTTAAGGAGTGTTAATGCAATCTACTCACACGTTATATCCTATGCAGAAAGATTCAAAATGACTACATCAATTATTAAAAGAAATATTTAAAATTCTATAAATGTTCTACTGCTTGCCACAGTTGGGTGCAACTGTCTCTCCAGGGCTAGTTGTTTAGTTTGCTGTTATTATTAGTGCTGCGAATTTTAAGAAGTAGATATTTTTTCCAAGTGTGTCAAAAAACCCCCAAACACACCCCACCACACCAAAACCCCAACTCCACCACCCTTTCAAAACTGTCATAAATATTTTGCAATGGATTAAATGCAAAATCCAGTGAGCTCTCAGCTGTGCTTTCCTAAACTACTGTTGCTTCGGTTCTCTGTCATCATTTTTTTTTTATTGTTTAGAATGAACGTTTAATAGTAATTGATATTTGGCTGAACTGTTATTTCAAAGAAATCTTGGTGTTCAATGGGGAAACAATCTGGCAGAAAATTCTCTGAGAGAAGCCTGAAACCATAGTGCTCATGCTGCTTCCACAATTTCTTGTGTATTAATTCAGTAGTTGGATTTTGGATGGTACTTGAAAATGCTTTTTTTTTTTTTTTAACATGCTTTATCTACATCTTCAACTGTTTACGCATTAAGATTTAATTTCTCAGTTTAAAAAATATAAGTTAAATTCAATTATATTGATATGGGATTATAAGCCTATAGGGAATCTTCAGAAATTAAACAAAAAATTAAACCGTACTTGTGCAAAATTCTGGATATTGGATTTTTACTGTGAGTTGGGCAGGGGAGTTGTTAACTTGGAAAGTTAATGATAACATGTTGGCCTAAATTGCAAATTAATCTGTGTCACAGGTTTCTGACATCTGTTTGTTCTTGTAAAATTGCAGTATTAAATTAATTCTGGCCAGATACTGTTCTGGGAAATATCATGATTACTTTTTTCCATGATCCGCATCTTAAAGTGGAAATTAGTAGGTTTTGTGCCAGTTTGGAGACTGTAAATTAATACGTTTCAATACATATCCAGTGTATTATATGGTTAAATAACGACAATTCTAACAAATTTAACTCCTAATACTTACAAGACTAAAAGGAGTTTTCTGTCTGAATACTTGCTCTTTATTCTGCTACGATAATTTGTACATGCTATCCATAATAGGATTGAGCAAATTTTTAAATTTTTATTTGAGAAGCGATGTGCGAATTTATTACAAGGCATTGCCGTGTTCAACATAATTTGTTTTCTGTCTATTCTTAAGCACTTTTTCTCATTTAGAAGTGGACATTTCTGCTTCTCATTTTTGCAAGTTGTAGTTATATTACTTGATGGAGACGAAGAACAGCCCTTTTCAAAGGGGAGAATGTTTAAATGGTTCATGGAAGGCTTATCCTGGAGCAGAGAACTAATTTGTGAAAAACTTTCTGAATTTGAGTTCTTGTCACAATAGCACGCTTCACACTTTTTATTGTTGTAGTCAGTGGGATAGGAAAAAAATAAAAAAATTTTAACAAACCGAGTAACTGTTAAACACAAGGAGTTTGGGTTTGTCTATTTTACTGTTGGTATAGACTTTGAAGCCTTTTTGTGATTCCTGCGTGCAGGATTACAGAAGTATCCAGTGCACACAGGCTGTGGCTGCTGAAGAGTGGGCGACTTAAATATTCAGAAACCTCAGGCCTCTTGTAGATTGGTGATTTTTATTTTGTAACTGCTGGAGATTGCAGTTGGGAATACTAGGTAAAGCATGTACTGGGCACTATAATTCCTAGTAAAACATAAAATCTGTGCAAACAATGCAAAGAAGATGGGTCCCTAAATACTGGCTGCCTCTGCATAGCTGCATCTGCTCTTTATTCCCTTCCTTCAGCCAATAACCCAATTGGAGGCTAGCTGCTTAGCATCCCTGTCACCTGTGATAGGTAATATATTTGTTCTTTGTTCCCTATAGACTTACTGGCTAAGGTGGAGTATGAAAAGCAATGTATCCAATAGCACTCCAGGCAGGAGGAGGAACTATTTGTGCATACAACTGCTTGGGCTGAGATATACTGTAAATTTTGTGTTGACAGACCCTAATGACAGTTTGAAGTCCTTTGTGCTGAATTTTTTAAAACTTTTTTGATAAGTGTATGAATGTGAAACAAGATACAAACCCACCATTTATAAACAAGCAGGCAGAAACCTTATTTAAAAGGCCTAAATAAACATAATATATAAACATAGCTAAGCAGATGAATTGCCTTCAGCATGCAAAAAAATAACCCAGCTGAAGGTCTCGTACCCTTTTCAGATCTGGTTTTTGCTATCTGTACAAAATATTTTCAAGCCAATTGTTGTTGAGTGAGATCATCCACAGTAAAGGTCAGATATTGGCATGGGGGCACAAAATGTATATATAAATAATGTTCTTCTTTTTAATGTCGTAGCTAAGTAATTACAGTAAAATACATTTGCCAGAAATAAGAATGTGGACATATCCAAATATGGTACATAAATAAACGGTTTCAGAAAGAGCGTGTTCTTTTCAGTTTTTTAACTTGCTTTAAAATTGTTGAAAACTATTCTTATGCTAATAAATACCAAAAAATGTTAGTTACTGATTTTTAATAGGAGGTGCACAAACATTCTACACTATTGTTCAATTATTTTCTTGG